GGGTTTAGGGTTAAGGGGGCCTAGGGTTTAGGGTTTGGGGGGCCTAGGGTTTAGAGTTTAAGGGGGCCGCGGGTTTAGGGTTTGGGTGTAGGCCCAGCAAGCCTCCCAGAGGAGTTAGAGCATCAAGGCAGGATTACAGGTTTCCCACTTTCGGTGTTGACGTTTAGGATGTAGGATGGCTCATGGGGCAGTTTCTGGCCCTCAAACCTGCATTGAAAGCCCCTCGCAGTTGAAGGCTTCGAGGTTGCGAGCCCAAGGAACTTTTCTGTGCTTGGAATTACTAGGATGTTGGTAAGAGGGAGGAATTAGCCTGGTGTTTGTCAAATAGGATGTACATCGGGGCATTCAGCCTTGAGCTCAAAGTTATAATTTGCAGGTTGGCCATTTGGCTTCAAACGCAAGGTCCCCTAACATGAAGCCCTAAACCCAAGACCCTAAATCCCTAAACCATAAGTCGTAAGCCCAGACCCTAAACCCTGACCCATCCACCCTAAACCCTAAACCCTAAACCGTAAACCCCAAACAATGAACCCTCATTAAACCTCAACCATGAACCGTAAACCCCGACCGTAAACCCTAGACCGTAAATCCCAACCAATCAACCGTAACCCCCAACCCAAACCCTTAACCCTTTAGCCCTTAAAACCCTGAACCCGGAGAACCCAATATCCCTTAATTAAGGAATATACCGCAAATCATAATATTAAGGCCCCTATAATTTAAGGTATATTCCTTGATTAAGGGGTATTCGGTTCTCTAAGAACCCTACACCCTGGGCGTCCGGAGCCTGGCAGCCAGCATTCTGCTGCACCCCCGGCCCTGGCAGAGACTGGGTTCTTGTTAAGGAGTGTGGTTCACGTTACCATAAACGATATCTATAGGGTTAAAGGTCTAGGGTCCATAAGAAGGATCTATAGTAACTAGCAAATACGATGGGTTCAGGGTTTGGGGTCCAGAATAGGGTTCTATAGTAAATTATCAGCTTTCCCCTAAACCCGACACCCGAAACCCTATGAGTTGGAACTCCTCAACAGGAGCCCGGAAGAATTGGGATTTGAGCGCTGGGCGTTGGGTGCTGGCATCGCTCTGCTCGGGACATGGGGCTTCAAGATCAGCTTAGAGCTCGCAGCTTTGGGTTTGGGGTTTAGGGTTTAGGGTTAAAGGGCTTAGAGTTTCGTGTTTAGGGCTTTAAGCTTTAGGGTTCTATTCAGAGTTGAACATGGTGATCTTCTACAGGGGGCCGGCATGTGTCTGACTTGCGCCTATTCGCCACAGTCTACTGCCTTCTGAGACCAATGTGCGGACGAGTATGTTCGCAAGACCCGGGTTCTAGAGCCGCAACTGGCAAGCTAACCTAAAGGGTAGGGTTTAGGGTATAGGGTTTAGAGCCTAGGGCTTAGGAGTTTAGGGTTTAGGGCCTAGGGCTTAGGATTTAGGGCTTAGCGTTTAGGGTTCAGGGTGGCCCTGCGGCTTACCCCAGACCCCAAGCTTCCAAAGAAGGACAAGACAGCCCTCAAACCCCAAATAAAGCTTGAGTCCGCTCAAGCGGGTCTTGGCATGATTCGCAAAACTTGGGAAAGTTTGTCCTTTTAGGATGATGGAACTTAGTAAAGCAGGGTTCTAAACAAGGCAAGTATAGCTGTAACTGCTCAATATAGGGGCCTTAATAATTCGAACAGGTTTTTGGGGCATACTATACCAGAATTATAGTAAAGTAGAATAGGGTCTTGGTGTATATTATATATACTAAGGCCCCGATGTTATACTCCCAACAAGTCTACTTACAACCTTACTTACTTACGAAGTGCTCTAGTCTTCCAGGCTCCAAGGTCCTCAGCGTTTAGGGTTCAGGGTTTAGGCAGGACGCAGGGTCTGCGGGTTCAGGGCTCAGGGTCTAAAGTTTGAGGGTCTGGGGTTGAAGACGGCCGGTTTGCGGAACGTACCTCTTTGAGGAAGAACATAAGCACATCGCTGTCAGGCACCCCAAGCGAACAACGTGGACTTCTTGGGCTCAAGAAGCCGAGTTTAGGGCCTAGGCTTCAGGGAGAATTATTCCAAACACCACGCTGAGACCAAATAATTTCAGCAATGATTAGAGAATCACACAAAGAATGCCACTGCTGCATTGCTCGTCGCATATAAAAACAAGGGCATGTACCAAACAAAAATTTCAAGGATCTGGAGCATTCCATGCGCTTGCCAAAGGGGGTAGTACCCTAAACCCGAAACCCTGAACCCAGAAATATTTTTACGAAAGGGTGGTCGGAAGCCAGATCTGCGCGGAATTCAAGCAAGGCGGCGCGACCGCCTCCTTTAGCGTTGCCCCGACCCATGGCAATGGCATTCGGGGAGGAAGACAGGCACAAAGGGATATGCTTGGGGGCTAAAACCTGAAGATGTGGCACCTTGGCATGCATCCTAAAGCCTAAATGCTCGCTAAGTTTTGCTACCTCTACTTCCTAATCTCCTGCGTCCATGACGAAAGCTTGAAGCTCCTAGACGTTCAAAAACTACCGCGAAACCTTCCTAGTGCTGCAGCAACAGAAGGCAAACCAGGCTGGGGGCTTGGAGGCTTCGGATGCTTGAACACGTGGAGGACCAGGGAATTGGGGGGGGGGGGGGTTATAAGTAAACATTAATATACAGTCATCGTAGTTATAAGCGCGAGTTACTACAGTAAGTCGCATGATTCTTGAAGCACCTCAAACCGAACCCTAAAGATTGAAAAGCAAACCACACCACCCTGAACGCGAAATCTCAAAGCAACCCTGTTTTGGGTTTAGGGTTTAGAGCAAGTACCACGGCTCTAAGCACTGAAACCTGCCGCTCTAGCCGCCATCCGCTTGAGGCTGAAAGGGTCCTCTTCTGGGGATCTATAGACACCGACTATTGCTGGTACTTGTATGGTACTATATTGTTTTATTTTTATTATGGATACGTAGGTTTTTGAATACTTTCTCTGGAGGGTAGCGCATCATCATCATCATCATCATCATCAGGAGTGTCCTGAGTGGCGTATGGTACTGGGGCCGAGTTTTCCTAAGGCGGCTCATCTGGCCAGGGGGGCCTTTGGAGCGGCGTATGTGTGCCACTCTTGGGAAGGGGTGGGAGGGTTGGCGTCGATGCTGATCCTGATCTTGGCGGACGGTGCGATGCAGGCTTGGGCTGCGCTTGAGACCGGCTCGGCCTGGGAAGGCAGGGGTGACTCAGGTGCTTTGGGTGGTGTCTTCGGCGCCGCAATGCCAGCCGGGGATGTCGAGGAGGCCGTCTTGGAAATGGGGAAAGCAGTGAAGTGATGGGTCCAGGAACTGGTGGGGGGTTGAAACCCGCGCCTTTCGGTTTGGGAGGAAGGGTCGCAGTGGCAGAAGTAGTAGGGGAGCAACGACGACGACGACAACAACGACGATGAAGACTACGACAACCACCACCACAACAACAACAACAACACCAGCAGCAGCAGCAGCAGCAACAACAACAACAACAGCAGCAGCACCAGCACCAGCAACAGCAGCAACAACGGCAACAACAGCAACAACAACCACAACCACAACCACAACCACAACCACAACCACAACCACAACCACAACCACAACCACAACCACAACCACAACCGCAACAGCAGCCGCGACAGCAAACAAGAACAACAACAACGACAACTACAACAACAACAACAACAACACTAGCTCGCCCAACGGGGGGGGGGGGGAGGCGTGTTTAAGGTATAGGACGAACCGGAATCGCCGCATGAGGAGCGTGTTTAAGCTATATTTTAATGATGAACGGGAAGCATCATGCGAGGGGGCTTGGTGAAGACATATGATGAGCCGGATTCACCACATGAAACAGGCATGTTTAAGATGCATGATGAAACTGGATCGCCAAATGAGGGGCATGCTTAATATGATGAACCGGTCTCGCCACATGAGGGGTGTGTTAAGATACATTATGAATTGTAATCCCCCAATAGATTGGAACAAAACATTACCCTGCAAGTTGGAACTTGCAAGAGCTTGACGCAACGCAAAAACATGCAAATGTAATTACTCCATAGCTTGACGCAAAGCAAGACCCTGCGCACATTGCAATTCCCAATAGCTTGACGCAAAGCAAAACCGCAAATGGTAATTCCATAATAGCCTGATGCAAGGCTGGAGCCTCGAAATCTGCACTCCCCAATAGCTTGGGGCGAAACGAATCCCTGCTACAATAATTGCATTTCCCCAATAGCTTGAGACAAGACAGGAGCCTCGAAATTGGAATTCCACAATAGCTTGTGGCAAAACGCTACCCTTCTAATTGCAATTCCCCAATGGCTTGATGCAAAACAGTAGCACATGTTGCAATTTACAGTATTTGCAACCACAAAAGAAGAGCCAACGTTAGCAAATGAGACCGGGCACCGCCAGCCCTAGGAAAACAACACCCTCCGCCGGGGGGTCGGGCTTAGAGGTTTGGGGTTGTAGGGTAGAGTCGCAGCAGGCCAGTTGCAAAAGGGTTCAGGGTTTAGCCAACTCGCCAGGCATGCGATGTCTTCTGCCTGCTCAGTGGCGCCTTCAGCCCTCTTTCCGGCTGCTTGAGCACTAAAAACCTGAAGCCGACATCCTAAGACTATGAAACTTTAAACCTGTCAAGGCTAAACCCCGGCCCTACACCCTAGATCCTAAGCCCCAAACCCAAGATCTAAGCCGAGACCCCTAAGCCTTGGGCTCTTTCTGACATGCTGTTAATTGGTCGAACATCTTCGAATGCGTGGGTTTTATGCACAGGATTCGCTGGAAGACAGCACGGGATGTGCAGACGAGACTACTGTACAAAATAAGGGGACTCTGGCATAAAATCCCACAGACCCTCCCGCGGAAGGCTCTCGAATTGAGCACTGCTGCAACAAGTCTTGTGTATCCCGGGTATTGCCATAGCAAGGAAGCCGTACAGTACTGATATACCTCCATCATGGTAACCAAAACCCTTCAACCCCGAGCCCCAACAACCCTGAAACCCAGGATTCATGGAGGAGACCGCCTACAACTCGGTGGTGAAGGACCGTGCGACATGTGAGGAGGTGCCTTCTTGGAGGTGATTCCTTTGCCTAGGACAGGCTGTGTTTTGCAACGGTACCCTAGGTGGGTATTTGATGGCACCTTAGGTGCATGGGTATCTATTCAGTTTACATGTATTTACACTTTGGTCATGATAATGCAGTACCCTATGTGCTTCAAACGCAGCATGGATCCTGCCTAGGCGGATGCCCCGAATCATACGCGGCGGTGTCCCCTGACTCACAGATTACTGCTTATATGGTGAGTCAACTTACAATGGTCTTCGGCGAGGTTAGAGAGTGCCAAGAACCTATCCAAGACTCTTCAGCCCGAACATCGCCACGTCCCTAAGTCTCAGACACGTGGCACGCCAAAATCCCTTGAAGGACATGCGCCTGCCGGAGAAGCAGCTCTTTGGCTTGCCCGTGACCTTCGATCTTCCAGAGGCCTGGTAGCTGACCCGAAGAAAATGAGGGACGCAGAATGGGGTGGTCTTACAGCGTTCTATGGGGCGTCTTATGGTACTTGATCATGCTTCATCAGGCCTTTTAGGGTTTTCCGAATTCGGTCTTTGAGCTTGGGGCTGCATGGCTTGTCGAAGCAAAAGCAACCCTGGCATCGAGAAGGTGGATGGCATCAAGCAGGGCGACAAGCTGCTGCTGAAGTGGAAGGGGACGAACGTCGCCGTCCTCGAGGCTTCTTCCATCTGGAAGCCCAACAAGGCGAGCCTGCTAGTCCATACAAGCTTGTAGGGGTTTCTGAATACAGATATCCCAACCATAATGCACACCCAAACCCTAATCAAATTCTGAGGGCCCCTTTATTTCAAGGCGAGTTTGGGGCAAGGGTTGAGGTCTTTGTGGTGGGGCCGGTCCGCAAAGCAAAATCCCTCATCAAACCCGAGTAACCCCCTTCAAAAGCCGGTAAACCACCATAATAACCTCCTTTGAAAAGCCGAAAGCTCCAAATTAGGGTCTCTTCTAGGTTCCCAACCTATAGGGGGCTGTATCAAGGATAGAGTTACGTAGGGTTCCCCCAAAGGGATTATGGATTGCGTCAGTTACCCAGGTGGTGGAGGCCAAGGAGTGCTACGGCACCAGCAGCCTGGAACATCCCACTGTGGCCTCCCTGGTGCAGGAGCTTAGGGTTTAGGGTTTAGGGATCCTGAAAATATGTGTTTGGGGTTTCCTGAACCCCCTAAAAAACTGATTTTTGTAAGGAAAGACATGAGGACCTGATCGTAGGGAATGTAAAGATGCACGTTTTCCAGGTCTCTGTACCCTTGATCCGGAAAAAGAGTTTAGGCTTGAAGGTTTTGTGGCTGTTAGGCTTTGGAGTCAAGGGTTCTTAGGTTTAGTAGGGTTCAGTGCTAAGGGTTCGTAACGTGTAAGTTTCAGCGTGCAGGAGTTGAGCTTGGCATTTTCAGCCAGATTTAAGTGTTGTAGGGATTTAGGTTGAGGGATTCAGGCGTGCGGGTTAGTGCATGTTTTGGGATTAGTTACTTAGTTTGAAGGGTTTCCGGGTCAGCGAGCCAGAGTCCAAACTTGGGACTCATGGCTATAGGGCTTGTTTGGCGCAGCAGTTCGGATGCCGGTGGAGGGACTGCGGCGCTTTCGTGGGATCATGAGAAGGATTGCTGTGGGCTGAAAGCAAGAAGTCCAAGGCTTAGCATGATATGTTGGTGGGGCTCTGGTCCTTTGGCCTTTCGGTTCGAATCTGCTCGCATTGTGGATGAAGTTGATTAGCTTTGTTAGGTTGTTTCTGTGCTGCATTCGTTGAGTCGTTTGGTGAACTTTTTTTAAGTTGGCAAGCCAGCAGAAGACTAGGCTCCAAAAGTCTTTCGAGGCTCTGAGCGCAAAAAAGGTTTGGGACTGTGGGCCAGCAGAGTCAGAAGGCTTGGAGGTTTAAGTTGCCCAGCCGTCGCGGCTGATTGTCCGAGGAGATCGGCAAGTATTACGTCGGCGGCAAGATCCACGGCTTCGAGCTGCCTAAGCCGCTTGGAAGATGCGATATATAAGTCAAAGGTCAAGGCAAACGCGTATAGTCACCCAGTCGAGCCATGTGATTCCGGATCTGGCATGCCAGAGTTCTGTACAGATACCTACACTCTCTCCAATGCAGTTCCTTGTTTGAGCTATCAATTTCCATGGTCAGTATCCTGTAACCCAAACAGAGGTGCTGGCTGAACCAAAGGAAGTACATTGGAATTACAGGTGAAAGTTAGCGGCAGGGCAGGGGATCTAAATCTGAGCTTTTCTCTTGCGAAAGCATGCGAAGCAGCCGAGGTTTGGCTACCCTACGCAGACCCCGGCTGAGGTCCGGGCGACGCTGCCGGAGAACAAGCAGGTGGTTTGTGGAATCTGTCAGCCTCGTTGCTCTTACGTGCTCGTTGTTCTTTATCTTTCCTCAACTCTGTTATCGTTGCCGTCTTTGCAGTAAACCCTAATTCCTAAACCCAATTGTTCTTGCTTTGTTGGCGATCCAAAGCCTCTTCATTACGGAATACGCTTTTAAAATCAGCAGAGTGAGGATCCCCATAGTTGAGGCCTAAGCTATATCCCGAGGGCTCCAAGTATGCAAATGGTACCTACTCTGGGGCCTAAAGTCTATAAATAGGACCTACTTTGGGCTATTTGGAGCCCCAGGGTATATTCCTTGGAAAAAATGATGTTGGGGTCTCTGAAGGAAGATTTCGCAGCAGCCTGGCATCCTTCCCTACTCCGGCGGGCTTTGGGAGTCTCTGGTGGGAACGCGGAAGCTTCCTAGCCCTAAACTCAAACTACCATACGACTACTTTTTTGGTAGGTTCTCGTAATAATAAGCCCTTGCACACAATTTGTAGGGACCCTACACAAAACAAGTAGCTTTGGGTAGTTCAAGCAAAGAGATGTCTCCACACCCCCAAGTGCTGGGTTTCGGGTTTCGGCTTTAGGGGTCGAAACCCTAAACCCTCAACCCTAAGGTGGCTTAAGGGTATCTTCCCTAAGCCCCAAAGCCTCTGCCTGCCGGAGTCGCTGCCCTTCAGGTGCAGAAGAGAGGGTCTTGAGGGCATTACCCATAGGCTCCTAAGTAGTCCCTTTTTGGGGTTACCTTATAGGATTCCAAATATGAACCACAAAAAGGAACTACTTAGGGGTCTTTAGGGCATTACGCCTCCGAGACTGAAGGTCCTAAAGCTTCTGCGAGGCTTCGGGGCTGCTTTAGGTTTTAGGGCCTAGGAGTTTAGGGAGTAGGTGTAGGGTGTCGGGAACAGGAAATAGGGTTCAGGGATTAGACACGGCGGAATAATCGAAATTCCACGGAGGTGGTCGCCTTCCAGAACCGCAACCCCATCCATCGTGCTCACTTTGAGCTCCTCATCTGTGCCCAGACCCTTGGCTTCTCTGTGGGTTCCGGCGCTTAGTGACTTAGTGGACGCGGGGTCACCAGCGGGGGGGAGCTATATTTGTGATGCTGATGATGACTATCTGACCTATTGCTTTGTATGTGTGTGTATATATATAGAGAGAGAGAGAGGGATGTGTGTGTGTGTTTAGATCTACACATCCACACGTCTGACTAAAAACAAGTTGCAGGCACTTACAGGCCTACTCGCTAGGAGTCCCGCATCCTCCAAGCAAGAGCTGGCTGGAACTCGGAAGATTCCGCCCCCTCTCAGCAGAGGACCAAAACTAAAGCATCACGCCGTCCAACCCAACGGTAGAGGTGGAGGGTTGTCCGATCGGTCCTTCCAGAGCCCATATAGGGTTGCGCATGCAAAACCGAGTTGGCGGATCTAAAGGGTGCACTGATCATATAAATCAGGACTTCAAGCCCTACATGATGGTCTATGAATCGTTTGAACCTTCTACCCTTTTTGTTGTAATTCGCTTGAAGCTTGCTTCGACTGTATGGCTCAGGGCGGTAAACACTTAAACACACGACAGAAATCCCTGCACTAGCATAAACTTCGGCATCGGGTGTATGTCATAAGTTGTTTCAGCTTGCACTGCAGGCTACAGGCAAAACGCTTTCAGAGAGAAGGACAAGCTAGCTTCCATGCAGGTTCCGGAAGGCTGCTTTTATGACGCTCAGGGCTCAAGGGCTGTAGGTGGGGTTCCGTGTTGAGAGTTGCTGTTTCCTGATCCAATCTGCAAGCCCTAAACCCTAAAACCCTAAACCCTAAAACCCTAAACCCTAAACCCTAAACCCTAAACCCTATCGAGGAAGGACGTGAAGGACTCCATCCTTCTTGTCCATCCCACTTGCGGGCCCACGCAGCCGGGTGACATCGATGGCCTCGTGCGCATCCAGACCTATGAGGCCCTGAAGACGGAAACCGAGAAGGAGTACCCCATGCTGCTCGACGAGATTTGAATATATAGGGCACCTAATCACGACCCTAAACTATTGACCAACACGCTGCGCATCATTCGAGCAAGTTTGGAGGGTAGCTCGCATCTTCGGTTGGTGTGACGACTTAACGGCTTATTTGGGATTCCTATGCCACGGCCTCAGTCAGCAGCTACACCGTTTGTATATATCAGGATCCTTAGGATTAAAGAGCCTTAGGCTTCCTCCGACGCTGTCTCAAATCCTCAACACCCGGATCTCTCATCCGGAACCCTAAACCCTGAACCCTGAACTCTGAACTCCCTAAACCCTATCCCTGAACTGCTGTTCCGAGCATCAATGAACCGCACGGGTGAAGGTTCCGCTGGGCCTACCTGCCATACAGCATGAAGATGGCTGGACCTCGCGAGGATCTCCGGGGATTTGGGTTAGGGCTTGTAGGGTTTAGGGATTTTGGTTTAGGGTTTAGGGATTAGGGTTTAGGGTTTAGGGTTTAAGGGTTTAGGGTTTAAGGGTTTAGGGTTTAGGGTTTAGGGATTTTGGTTTAGGGTTTAGGGTTTATAGGGATTTTGCTGTAGGATTCCACATTGTGCGTAGAGTGCGGTGAAAGTGTAAGAGTTGAGGCAGGTGTTCGGCTGCGATGGGGCATTTCTGTGAGGATCTAGTCAGTTATAGTGTTCCGGTTCCGATCGAACCTAGGATTCAAAAAGTCATGCGTGCAATAATCCATGCATCTTTCCTCCTCTGGTTGTTTTGAGCTTGATGCTTCCACAAGAGCTCCCAGGCCCAGAACATTTGAACCCTCGCGGCTCGTCTTGCTGAGGCCATCCAGCACATGATCATCCGCAAGAATTACGGTGCCACCCACTTCATCATCGGGCGTGACATGGCCGGGACCAAGCGCCTCAAATGCGCTTGAGAAACTTCTCCTTGCCGTATCCTGAACTCTAAGATCGCTTGTTTTCTTCCTCAAGCCCAGAAACCTAACCTCTTTAAATTAACAACAGAACGCACCCCAAACCCATCAACACGACTAAGGAGCACCATTGATGGCGAGGACTTCTATGGACCCTATGATGCCCAAGAGACCGGCAAAAAGTACTCCGCGGAGCTCGGCGTGACGGTGACCCACTACGAGAACATGGCACCCCGGTCAGAGAGTCCTCGGTTAGGGGTTTAGGGTCTTTTAGGGGTTTAGGGTTCTTTTAGGAGTTTAGGGCATTAGGGCTGTAGGGCTTTAGGGGTTTAGGGTTTAGGGTTTTTTTAAAAAATTTTTTTAGGGTGAAATGGTAATTCCAATGCCCAAGCCTCAGCACTTCTTCCAGCCGTGCCTGGCGCGAATTTTCCAACAAAACTGGGGGCCGGGCTTACAAAAAAAAGGCAACAGTTTGCTGTTGCCTGAAGCTCCGAAGCTGCCGTCATCCTCCCAAAAGTATCGAAATTCTGACAAACCTGTATTAATACCGTTGATGATAGAAATCCTGCATTACCTTGAGGACCCTCTAAACCATGGGAGTTATGGCATCTTCCTTATCATGGGTCATGCAGGATTTATACCATGAACCGTAGTGGCGAAAATAGCGAATAGGTGAAGTTCGGGCTTGAAGTGTCATCATGGCCAGAGAAAGGCCTCCCCCCCCACTTGGAGGTTCATGGGTAGTTAAAAGTGGAGTTATAAGTCCCCGAATATAGGTTATAACTATAGTTACCCTACTTATAACCCTACTTATAACTACCCATGAACCTCCAAGCACCCCCCCCCACTACCTTGAGTGCCCAGGTGTCTGTGAGGGTTCGAAACGAAACGAAATAGGCGATTGCTTCTTTTGGTCATGTCATCGACCTTAAGATTCCGAAGCCGTGCACATGGGCAAGCAGATTCCATCATCGGCAAACGCAACCAAAAAGAGTTTGAGGGGTTTAGGGGTTTAGGGGTTTAGGGTTTAGGGTTTAGGGCAACAAAAAGGAGTTTGGGCTCAGACGCCTGCCTACTTGAACCCCTAAAGCCCTGTTAAGACCCCGAGCCCCCATACTGGGCGAAACCCTAAAGCCTAAAGACCTCTTGAGACCCCGAGCCACCATACTGCGCGAAACCATAAAGCCCTGTTGAGACCCCGAGCCTTTTTATTCATGGTCTCCCTCAGTGGAGGTTTACCTAGACCCTAAACCCTCAACCTTATAATTACGGGACCTTCAGTCAAGGTTTATGTCGGCCCAGAGGAAGGCTACGTCCAGGAGAGTGTGGCCAAGAGCAAGGGCTCCTTGGCACACCCACAGGCTCCCTGTAATCATAAGGGTTGAGGGCTTGAATATTTTAGGGTTTAGGGTTCCTATAAGGGTACCTACCATAAAGGTATAGGGTTTAGGGTTTAAGGCTCCATGTACCCATATAGTTTATGCTCAGGGCTTGCTGGGGTTCTGAGAAAGGTACTTTAGGGTCTAAACGAATACTCCATGGATACATGGAGCCTTAGGGGATAGCAGCTTTACAGGGTTACTGGAGCCTCTGTTGGCGTCGTAGAAAGTCACTGTAGGGTGTTAAAGTCCTTGTTCTGGTCTTGCTTGGGTTTCACCATGGCTAAGACTATAGGGTTCGATAAGTCTGATACGGTTCTCATAGGGCATTGTAACTTGTTTTGTTGAGCTGCTCGGTGCAGGGACTTCGTGCATTGCAGATCCGGCGGTTGAGGTATATGCTGCAGGAGGTTACTTAGGGCAATTCAGGGTTTGGGCTTTCAGGGGTTCGGGGGTTTAGGGGCTGCAGCAGGGGTTTGGGATTCAAAACACTTAGAAGGAATAAGTAGGTTACTCAGTAGAGTCTCCGGTATGATGGTTACGGTTAGGATTCAGGGGTCTGGCGGCTTGCATGTTGGTAGGGTTTTGCGACTAATGAGCAACTGGTGCTTAGTGGAAGTCGCCGTCATCAGGCGCACACAAACCATCAGCCGCAAGCAGTTCTGCCGCCACAGCAGCGACGGTCAGACACACGCTAGCCACTGTGGTGGATATTGAAGTCTTCATCCGGTCGTCTTCTGCGAGCGGCTAGTAGCCATGCAGTGGAAACACATTTACGTGAACATAAGTGAACACACATTTGAAGCGGCAGCAGGACGCCGTTGTCGATCGTCATGTTTTTAGTTGCCAAAGTTGTCGTACTCATCGCAATGGTAGTTTTTCCGTATTCGGTAAACTACATACTTCCACATATGATTTCAAGAGTATCACCGAAAAATAAACACATCAGCCGTTACGGCTTGGGTATCGTGACGATTCTGATGACGATCGGAATCGCCATGGCCAGAAAGTGCGTGGACATGATCATGTTTGCCGTGAGGGTCACATCTTGCTTTCTTCTACTCACGGTTGATTAGCATACTTAGTTAGGCATAGTTCCGCACAACCTCATCTCGTGTTCCGGCTTGTAGGTGCGAAACTCTGGACCTCAAAACGCCAGGTCTGAAATCTTGAGCCATCAAAGTGCAACGCCAATGCTGAAGCCACCGGCTCGGGCTGGGCAGCCGAGGCTACAAGGTGGTGAAGCTCTCCGGCACCGAGTTCCGCCGACGCCTCCGTGCTGGCGAGGACATCCCTGAGTTCCTTGGCCTGATGCAAAGATGTTGGGTTGTTGGAGCATCCGCCCCAGAACGGCGTCTTGCAGAAGCTGTATCTGTGTGTATACATGGAAGCATGTATGTGGGTTTGTTTGCATCTGCCAACGTCTGATTGCCTGTCTGCCAATGTGTCCGCCTGCCGGTGTTGATGTCTGCATTCATGCATGCATGCGTACCTACACACACACATATATATATATGTATGTATGTATGTATGTATGTATGTATGTGTGTGTACAATAATAAATATAGAACAATCAAATATGTACATATGTATACGTATATACAGAAATTTATATGCATACGTATATGTATTTTGTATGTATGTGGTTATGTACGTATGTTTGCATGTATCTATCTAACTACGTTTATATACCGGTGGGGACTCATCCTACGGTTGATGATATAAATCCAGCATCACCCATAATAAGGAATATACCCTCATTCCCATAGCTTAGGGTCCTTAGGGTAATGCAGGATTTCTATCATCCACAGTAGTGCCAACTCTGGGTGCCCCGGTAGACAGTACGCCATTCAATCCTGCACTGCCTTCTCGGAAGGACTTGACTCCTGTCCCCTTATCCCTACAAATCCTTGTATAGTACCCTTACAGGTGTATATAGTGTGCATATATAAAACCTTTTAAAGTACCCTTGCACCCTTATCCAGTACCCACATATACTGCCTTTACGTAGTCGCCTTAGATACCCTTATATAGTACTTTGAGTGGCTGTCGGGCTGTCGGCTTGTGCATCTCGAAGTTCTTCGTCCTCTGGATTTTTGAGTTTAGGCTTTAGGGTTTAGGGGTTTAGGGGTTTAGGCCCTCAGTTTTCTCTCCTTTCAGGGGTACCCGGCAGTTGCAATAGGCCTGGATGCAAAAAGGGGTTTAGGGTTTTCAGCCCTGGAGTCGGTTTAGGGTTTAGGGTTGAACATGACAGGTGGTTCGCATTCAAGTCGGTGGTGGATATCCTCCGAAAGGCCGGAGACAGCGCCTTCTGCGCCTAGGCCATTGCACAGCATCCCGTAGCCTGTGCACAATACCGACCCAGCGTGGTCTCGTAGCTCCGAACATAATAGCCTGGATTCCCTAAATCGCTTGAGAGCTGAAGCCTTTAAACCAAAATGCTAACCCTAAACTCCCAAAGCCTAACCAAAAACCCCCAAACCCTAAACCCTAAAGCCTAAACTCCCTAAAACCGACCATCCAACATCATGCCCCGATAGCTGTGGCCCCAAAGCCGATACGGCGGCCATCATCAGGAGACGCCGGGCTAAACAGGCCCAAGTAGCCAGAGACTCCAATTTCCCTTAATTAAGGGAGTATACCTTAAATTATAGTAGGATCCCTAATATGATTTAACCCTTAATTTAGGAATATACCTTAAATCATATTAGGGATCCTACTATAATTTTAGGCATATTCCTTAATTAAGGGATATTGGGGTCTCTGGGTAGCTGTAGTCTCTGGAGATGAAATTGGTCAGCAACATGGCCTGCGGCTGTCTCTGCCCCAAGGAGCCAGACGGTCGTAGGATCATGTGTCAATCCTACCGCAAGCGTTAGCTACACCCTTGCCGTGGCCGGTGTCGCTTGCTCACAAAATGCGATGCAAGCGATAGGCTCTGCAATCTTTCCAAAGAGTCTCCATCCTACGGTCCCATGGTGCTCCAGAACTCCACGCACCATCGCAACCTTACACGCGAGACGCCAAAGCTTGAACCCAACACTAATTCTACGGTGATGAAAACTGGGCGCTGGTTCTGTGGGCACCAGTTTTGCCGTTTCCTCCATGCGGCAGCCTACTGCCCAATTTGCTCCGAAGCCTTCATGCGCGAGAGAGAAAGGCTCCCACATCCAGTTTGGGTCAGTTGGTGTTTATGGGGTTGTAGGTTGTAGAATGTTGTAGAGATGTGTAGAGTTTAGGGTTTAGCGCTAGGGTCGGTCACGGGATTCTTAAGAGGTGCTGCAGAGGCCATGTTCGGCTATGTGCTCATAATGTTGTGTGATGGCATCCCACGCTGCCGTGAGGTTCATAGGTTGAGCAAACCTGCACAGAGCCTCCACATGTCATTCTGGTGATGCCGCCTTTCTTCTCATGTTAGTGTTTTGCTTGGGGAGCTTCTGGACGTACCTTCCCCGGGGTTGATGAATCCATAGAGGGTGACACTGACAGAGTGTGTCTCAGTCGGGACGAATATTGCTTGTTTGGAGGGATGCTTGAAGAATGAAATTGCTGTTGAGTGTCCTTCAAACCCTATGAGTTTCCTTATGGTGATAACTTCCACAACACATTCCTCGATGTTTCATCAGGCAGGTCGTGAGTCTGCATTCACGATTTCGAGAATCCTCAACAAGCACTTTCGATCTCGCATTCAGAATCCAAGATCAGGGTTTTGCATCATAGGGAGCCCGATCACTTCTTCGCAACCGGCTGTCGTCCTAGCGATTCCTATGCAAAATCCATCAGGTTTGGGCCCGATGCCCGGAACGCACCGAAACCTTATATCCGACATCCCACAGACAAAATCCTACTCTTGTAACTCACGCCTTAAAGCCCCAAACCGTGCACCCTAAACCCTAAACCCAATGTGGGAGGGAAAAAAGCCCAATCTTTCATCCTAAGCCCTAAAACTCCAAACCGGAGACGACGAGGAAGCTTAAATCTGAAGGCGCTTCTTGAACTCCTCATCGACTCTCCGACGCTTCCCTGGTTCTGTACTACCATTCTTGATTACTTGGTAGTACTTCTTTTTGGACCTGTTCCTTGTGTTTTCTCCCTGGTTACTTCAAAGCCCAGTTTGCCTGGCCAGGCATTTCAACCACAATTTCGCAGCCAGGCAATCAAAAAGTCATGCTGCATCGATTTGCTGCACTTGGGATTTGGGGTTTGCGGCTTGAATGCTTGAGCACTGTATCTCAGACTCACGGTGTTGGTGTCCATATGCGCAGTTGAAAGCCCTGTCAAACATGCTACGTTATTTGCAATTGTTTTCTGTTCAAGATGGAGGGCTTAAGCACAGGACAGGATAGACTCCCAGCGTGACAAGTTGCCCGGCCCGAAGATATTTACACATGCAACCTGTGGGGTCAAAAGTGATAGTGCAACAACATGAAGGCAAGGAAGAAGACAGTTATATGATTCGAAGGGCTCGCCTACTCTGCAAGATGGGGCTTTGCAGAGGCCATGAAGCTGCGAAGAACCCTACCCCAAGTCCTCGATTCACAATCTCGTGACAGCATCTACATGAGAGCCTTTGCTCTCGGTTTTTCTTTGAAGCCGTTCCCCCTAAGCAGCAGGCCTATGCCCTGGAAGCGCTCTCCCAAAAATCCCAAGCCCTAAAAACTCTGCAAGCAGTAATCTACTCTAGAGGCCCGGAAAGTGCAAAAGCCCCATATCACCAGACCTATTGCCACGACTATGTTCATGATTCTTACCGTATGGGTCGCTACTATGAGTATTTTTATTCGAGGTCTTCTGTTTCAGATTCAAGATTCCCCCCCACCAACTACCCCACCTTCCTTCGAGCCCTTTGAAGGAGGCTCAAAGCGCGTCGGCGGTTTTCCCACGGGCACTTTCCGCTTCTCCAGCCATGGCCGCCGTCGTGCGCCGACTCGGGGCATCTTCCTTGACCCCGCTCCCCTGCCTGGCTTAAGGGCTTGCGGTTTGAGGACTACTTGGTTTAATGTTTTGAGGGTTTAGTAAGGAGTTTAGGGTTGAGGGTTTAGGGTTTGGGTTTAATTAAATGATGAGGGTTCAGGGTTCGATACCCTGGGCCATTCACAGGGAAGGGGAACTTGAACCCATCCCAGCCCTAAGACCCTGCACACTGCACCTTTCACAACCAAGTGAACAGAACCCTAAATCCTAAACCCTAAACCCTAAGTCCAAGTATCAGCTGCTGAAGGAGTCGAGGCTTCCGCCCGGAAGCTCTATTTGCTGAACGTGACATTGGTTTTTCAATTCAGTTTCTTGTAGCTCCACTCAATTGAAGCTGTAAATGGAGTCTGTTTGTATTCTTAGAACACGCCTTACAATATTGTTAGCAACCCCATAATTCTCCCGCCCAGAGTGCCAGAGTGGGAGAGAGCGGTCAGCAGATCACCAAACCCACAGGTTTAGGACTCTAGGTTTTCAAGGTTTAGGGCCTAGGACTCTAGGGCTTCAGGACTCTACGTTTTCAGGGTTTAGGGCTAAGGACTCTAGGGTTTCAGGGTTTAGGGCTTAGACTCTTCAGCCAAGCTCCAAAAGCCAGCGCTTATGGCTTAGTGCATTGCAGTCCCTGCTCGAAAAAAGGGCTTAGACTCTCGGGAATCAGGGTTGAGTGTTTGGGGTGGTCCCCAACCTCCCACCACACTTCAAAGTCGCACAGCCTAGGATTCAGCGTAAGGATGGGGCCACCGTATGCTCAGACCTTCAGGCGGTTGCACAAGTCGTGATGCAAAAGGGTATCCCTAGCTAAGATAGTCATGATAAGGCAAACCGCAACCCGGGGAGCGTTTTTTACACTTTTGGTCTAGGGACCTTGTCGTTTTCGTAGTTTAGTGTAAACAAGCAGCCCTACGACGCCGTGTGTTATTTGCAACAGTGGGGTCGCAACTTAATCTAAACCCTAAACCCTCAAACCCTAAACCCCTAAACCTCAAACTCTAAACCCCTTATAAACCCTAAACCCTCAAACCCTAAACCCTTAAGCCGCCAGCTGCATGAAGGAAGCTGAGCCTGACTCTTCGAGCCAGCAGCTTGCCGAGGCAGTTCTCCTCCCTGCCTCCCGGCTTGAAAGCGTGTGTCATTGAGGCTAGGGCTTAGGGTTAAGGGCTTTGGGGGCTTAGGGTTTAGGGGTTTAGGGGTTAGGGTTTAGGGGTTTCGGGGTTTAGGGTTTAGGGGTTTAGGGGTTTAGGGTTTTAGGGGTAGGGGTTTAGGGTTTAGGGTTTAGGGTTTAGGGTTTAGGGTTTAGGGTTTAGGGTACGTAGGGCTTAGGGCTTAGGATTGAGGGTAGCGTGCCTGTATCGGAGTTATGTCGCATCAGTC